CTGGTAAGGAAAGTTTGGAGTAGCAGTTTGGGAATCCCCTGTAGTAATCTGCTTTCCCTTGTGAACCGCAGGCACTGTCTTAAACTTATTTTTTTGTTAGCTCAATGCACTGTAGGAGCTTAATAAACGATAGAATAGATTAATAAACAAATGAGGACGAGGAGACAGATCTGAGAAGGCTGCGAAGGGGGTGCTAACCTAAAGCCCAGCCCAGAGGCTGTGACCTCCGACCCAAGTCCCTCAAAAAAGCTCGCGTTCAGAGGCCAGGAGAAAGAAGAGTTCCTAAACTGCGGAGAGTCCAAGGCGCTACTCTTTTAGAGGGCGGGGCTCGGAGGGCGTATTCCGACGCTACCCGTCAACAAACCAATCCCCGCCTCAAGGGGGAGGGGATTTAGTCTGTCGCCTGTCCTTTCCTTTGGGAGGTAAATATGTTCGGGCGCTATTCAAACGGGCCAATGAGTGCTCGACGTTGGTACGGTTGGCCCTCACCGATTGGCTGGAGTTTGTCGTTCCTCCCTCCTCGTCACGCCTCTGGCTCCACCCTTTTGCACTCAAGATGGCGGCGCCCTGCGGAGTAGAGGCCGCGCTTGGGGTTTGCTGAAGCTGACTGCCTCTCCCACTCCCCTTTTGGGTGCAAAGTGCCGCTAGCTGGAGGACGGGGGCCGGGCGGGGACAGGGGCACCTGCGTAGCTGGACCGCGAGCCTGCGCCCAGGCAGCGTCGACCCCACCCGGCCCCGGCCCGACCCGAGCCGATCCCATTCCATCCGTTCCCGGTCTCCTCCCGGTCCGACCCATTGCCCGGCGGTGGTTCGTCATACCAGGCATCCAAAGCTGAGGTCGTTCTTACAGCCTGGGCTCGCCTTCGCTTTAGAGATGTTTGGCCTTTTCCCTCCCAAACAGCTCGTCTTCAAAACCTGGACTCTTGGACTGGCGCCTGGTCCCCTTGCCCTCTGCCAAGACTCCACTTCCCTCTTACTCACTTCTTCCTCGGATTCTTGGTACCCCCTGGGTCGGAGACTGCTAATTTTCCTTCCAAACTAATTCCAGACCGCCTAAAATATTCACAACCTTGACAACCTCCCAACCGAGGAGCCCGACTTCCTTTTGGACTGACCTCCATAGCCCTATCATGGAGGCAGTGTACCTGGTAGTGAATGGGGTGGGCCTGGTGCTGGACGTGCTGACCTTGGTGTTGGACCTCAACTTCCTGCTGGTGTCCTCCCTCCTGGCTTCCCTGGCCTGGCTCCTGGCCTTCATCTACAACCTGCCGCACACGGTACTGACGAGTCTTCTGCACTTGGGCCGCGGAGTTCTGCTTTCATTGCTGGCCTTGATCGAAGCCTTGGTCCGGTTCACATGTGGGGGCTTGCAGGCCTTGTGTACCCTGCTCTATAGCTGCTGCTCTGGCTTGGAGAGCCTAAAGCTCCTTGGGCACCTGGCCTCTCACGGAGCACTGCGGAGCCGAGAGATACTACACCGGGGCGTCCTCAATGTGGTCTCCAGTGGCCATGCTTTGCTGCGCCAGGCCTGTGACATCTGTGCCATTGCAATGAGCCTGGTGGCTTATGTGATCAACAGCCTGGTCAACATCTGCCTCATTGGCACTCAGAACCTCTTTTCCCTGGTGCTGGCCCTGTGGGATGCAGTAACAGGGCCTCTGTGGAGGATGACAGACGTAGTGGCTGCCTTCCTAGCCCACATTTCGAGCAGTGCTGTGGCCATGGTCATCCTCCTTTGGACCCCCTGCCAGCTAGCCCTGGAGCTTCTGGCCTCAGCTGCCCGCCTCCTGGCTAGCTTCGTGCTTGTCAACCTCACTGGCCTGGTGTTGCTAGCTTGTGTGTTGGCAGTGACAGTGACTGTGTTGCACCCGGACTTCACCCTGAGGCTGGCTACCCAGGCACTCGGCCAGCTCCATGCCCGGCCATCCTACCACCGTCTTCGAGAGGATGTCATGCGGCTCTCTCGCCTGGCACTGGGCTCGGAGGCCTGGCGCCGCGTTTGGAGCCGCAGCCTGCAGCTGGCGAGCTGGCCAAACCGGGGAGGGGCACCTGGAGCTCCCCAGGGTGACCCTATGAGGGTGTTCTCAGTTAGGACCCGGAGACAGGATGCTATTCCTGAAGCGGGGCACAGATCAGAGGCAGAAGAGGAGGAGGTCAGGACCATCAGAATGACACCTGCCAGGGGCCGAGAGAGGCTCAACAAGGAGGAGCCTCCAGGTGGGCAAGACCCATGGAAGTTGCTGAAGGAGCAAGAGGAGCGGAAGAAGTGTGTCATCTGCCAGGACCAGAGCAAGACGGTGTTGCTCCTGCCCTGCCGGCATCTGTGCCTGTGCCAGGCCTGCACTGAAATCCTGATGCGCCACCCCGTCTACCACCGCAACTGCCCGCTCTGCCGCCGTGGCATCCTGCAGACCCTTAATGTCTACCTCTGAAGACTCCTTCCCTGCCTGCCCATCCCTCCACGCTCCACGCTCCACGCAGGCACTCACGCTAGGACAGCATTAACACCTCATCTCCGGGTCCTGGTCTGAATCCCTTCCTAACCCTGTGGCTGTCCTGCCAAGCCTCCAAGCCATATTTCCAGGACATCGAGATGGAGGACAATGATCTGGGCGGGGGCAGGGTAACATAGCTTCTTCTAACCCAGTGGGTCCCTTCGATGCTGAGGGTGGTGAGTATGTCACTATGCAAGGGCCCTGAGACTGTTTGCTGTGGGCTTCTCCAGCCTGCCCTGGGCCCACCCAGATGCCTCTGGGGTTACCCCTGTCTGCTTCTGGTTTTTCTCTTGGGGATTTGTAGGTCTTTTTCCTGCCTCCTTCACACTTCCTATCCAGCTTTTGCAGCCACAGTACATCAGTGTCACTTGGGTGTTTTAACAACTCAGGGGCCTTGGGATGATCTTGAACCTTTGTGTTCAGCCAGAGCCCCTGTGCCCTGATAGGCTTTGAGGATAGTATCTCTCAGGTGCCCTCGGAGCCACCTCTGGCTGTCATTATCTGATGAGGCTCCCTCCCAACCTGATTTAAAAGCTGGACTCGAGTTTACCCCTGGGGTCAGGGGGTGCATCTGTACCTGGCTTTGGGGCCACGTGCCCTCCAGCACCTCAGCTCACTGGGAGTCTCAAGAGGGATAACCAGATTTCTCATTCCCTTTCACTCCCACATTACACAGAAAAATGGCATTCCTCTCTGTCTCTCCCTGGCGTTGGAGAGGGCAGACTGTGCACATTTCACTAGGGTCCAAACACAAGGGACCAGAGCCCAGGGGCTTGCAGCTAGCTTCCTGAGGGATCTCTGGCCGTTTCCAATGAATAAAGTTCTCTTGACAGCTCTGATAGTCTCTGTGCATCCTTGCAAGGGAGCAGTTGGTCACGGCAACAGACTGCATCAGGGTCCTTCAGGCCTGACAGTCAGAAGTGTGGTCTGTGAGGGTACCTGGGCTTTAGAGGGGGGACAGGCCATGAGCTAAGATAGTATGGGAAGACTGTGTCAGGGAGAGTGCGTGCCAGGCATGGCTCTGAGCTCTCATCCCTTCTGATTTGTCCCTTGCACACGTGGCTTTCGAAAAGCCTTCTGTGTTTTTTCCATTTTTGCCAAATTAAGCCCGCGTAGAGAAGAATGTGAACTATCTCAACCCTTGAGTCAACCTTCCCAGCTTTTCCTCTGGGCCAGTCTTCCTGGGAGGGAGCATGGGGTTCCTGCTGCCTGGAGTTCAGGCTACCCTCAGATCTCAGGAGGAGCTGGTGCTTGTCTCTGTGTGTCTTGGCATGGGGTCTGGTGCAGGGCTGGGCTGGAGTGTGGCTGTGGTACCTCCTGGTGGAGGCTGCCTGAGGCCTGTCTCTAGCTCACATTTGGGGCTCAGCCCCCATTGGCCTTGTCTGCCCTCACACATGATCAGGGGAAGAGCAGGGGCACTCCGCCATAATTGTTTCTTTATGGGAGCACAGTGCCTGGGACTGCCTTCAGGAAGGGGATGCCGGTAGCTCACGAAGAAACTCTAAGGATTGCTTATAGCCAAAAGAAGCAAAAAAAGAAAAAAGAAAAAAAAGAAACTCTGAGGAGAGGCCCCCCTCCTTGGTTTGAGGCTGTGCAGATGGGGCTGGCCAGTCCTGGTTTGTTAGTCATTGGGTTGGGGGTGGACCCTGGGCGGGGAGCCTTGAGGGGCTTTGTGGCTAGCCTCAGACACAGTGGCTCGGCCCACCCAGGCTATGCCCAGTGCAGTCGGGAAGGGCTTCTCATCTCCCCCTCAGAACGAGGAGGCCCGGGGAGGGCTTGGCACATGCTCTTCCCTCAATCTGGGACAGGGAGCTGCTCAAGGGGAGGCCCGGCTCCTTCCAGTCTCTGTTTAATGTGGGGATAAACATTTTATGATAGAAGATAAACTTCCTGAGTTGGGAGTAAAGGACCCCCCTTTTCCTCCACCCGCATCTGGAATTCCTTTGGCCGACCTCAATACCCCTCCTCCCCCTCACCACCCATAGTCAGGAGTCCAAGGTACTCAGGGTCCCTGTGGCATTCTGGGGTCAGGGCACCCCCTTGTGGTCATCTCAGAAACTACTCATCTCTAGATGCTAGGGGTGCCACTCACTCGGTTTACAGAGCAATAGCTTTCCAGTCATCTGGGAACCGGGCAAGCAGCCAGAGCAGCCATGGATGAAGGGTCCTCGGCTCTTTTTTGTTGGATAAGGGCAGGGGTATGTGTGGTGCAGGCAGCCCTTATGTGGTTCACTTGGCACCTTTGAATTAGAAAAAGTGCCCCTTTTTCAGGGTGGCTGGAGCCCCACCCCAGGAAGTCATCTCGCTGTCAGACTCCTGCTGTTCACAACCTAGGTGGCTGTTCTGAGGAGCAGCCTCTCATTCCCCTGGGCCGGCTTCCTGTATATCTGCCCTGTATCTCTATTTCATCCAAGAATCCTCCCTTCTGCCTGAGCACCCCCTCCACCCATGATCCCAGAAACAGGGAACCCCCACCACTAAAGAAGAAAGGCTGGAGCTGTAGGAGGTTCTTAGATTTATTGAGTGATCTCTGAGAAAAGGGCCGGCCCCAGGAGCAGGAGGGAGGGGGAGGATCCAGAGAAGCAGAGGACCAGGAAGAAAGCACCCCAGCCTGGGCTCCTGGGCCAGAGCAACTGGGGGACCCACACTTGCCAGCACAGCACACTCCTCTGGTCTTGGACAGAAATCCAGCCACTGCCCCGTGCTGCCAGACCTCATCTCAGCCACTGTCCCTGTTCCTTGCCAGCAGCAGGACGGAGAGGCCCCTGCCCCACCTCCCTAGTCATTCACAATATTCCAGGGGGGCCAGCCCTCCTGGATGACCTGGTTGTCAGCGTCACGCCCTCCTCCTAAGAGTGAGACCGTCAGCTTACTTTGCAGTGGGCACTAAGCGAAGACCGGGGAGCTGTGCCAGTCAGAGTACACCAGAAATCCGGAGAAGGTGCTGTCTGTCTTGATGCTGGCATAGATGCCAATGTAGTCACCTACGCCCACCTGCACCCACACTTGGTCCTCGGGCTCCAGCCTCACCATGGCGCCCCCTGAGAGCGAGGCTGGCTTGGGCCACCCCCCGAAAAACTGGAAGAAAGAGGCGATAGATTGGCCATTCTTCATCAGGTCAAACTGCAGGCTGGCCCGGTAGACGGTGGCATGGACGGCGAAGTAGTAGACCCCAGGCACCTGGCAGGTGAATTTGCCGGTGACGGCGTCGTAATGTCCCTGCTCGTTCACCAGCACACGGTCGAAGGGCAGGGGCGCGTCAGACGGCGGAGGCACCCGGCTCTCCGAGCGCTTGGCGCTGAAGGCGGAGCGCGGAGGCACCGAGCACTCCCCGACAGGCCCGGTGGGCCCCGCGGGTCCCGCCTCTCCTCGCGGCCCGGGCTCCCCTCGCGGCCCCGGCAGTCCTACGGGGTAAGCGGGGCGGCAGGGTGAGCGCAGCGGCCGGGTCAGCCCGCGGCGGGGCGCCGACTCTAAGGTCACCGTCCCCCTCCCCGCCCCGGCCTGCCCTTCACCCAGCGCCGCCTCCCGCACGGGTTCCTCCCCTACCCCTTCCTGCAGGTAGAGGGCAGAACTGGGGGGCTGGCCAAGGGGGCCTCCGCCGCCTGGGCCTCCCCTCCCCCGCGCGGGACTGCAAAGCGCAGGGAGTGGCGCCCCCTGGCGGGAGCCCCGGACACCGGGAGCGGGAGTCGCAGCCGCGCCTGCTCGGACGTCGCCACCGAGAGCCGCGGCGGTGCCTTCTTACCCGGCCTCCCGCCCTCGCCTTTCTCGCCTGGAGCCCCGGGAGCGCCGTCGCGGCCGTCGCGGCCATCGCGGCCGGGCAAGCCCTGGCTGCCATGGTGGCCCGGCGTGCCTGGAAGGCCGGGGTGCCCCGGGCACAGGCTGGGGATCTTGTTGTCGTCCAGCGGGGGCGAGCCGGCCGCCAGGCCCAGGAGCAGCAGGACGAGGAGCGGCCTCATGGCGTTGGCACCGGGAGCCCGGACGCCGGGGTCCTCTGGCAGTCTGTGGGCTAGGCAGGACTGGAGTCGGGACCCGGAATCTTGGGGCCTGCCTCGCTCCCCACCCCGGCGCGGCCCAGTTGGTCCCCACCCCACTGCCGTGCCCCTGAGGCTGAGTGCCCGCGGGCCCGAGCACTCGGTGAGCCAGGCAGGCGAGAGCGGGCAGGAGCGGCCAGCTTTCCCTCGCACTGCTGGCCCGCGCCAGCTTTTCCCACTGTCTCCTCCCCAGCCCCTTTCCTCTCCTCCGCCGGACTCACCCCCCTCCCGGCTCCCCAGTGGCCTCCTTCGGGGGTGCTACCTACTCCGGACCCTCCAGTTGGCGGTGCCCCCGCCCCCGCGCTTCTCCCCGGCCAGGCGCCCCCTTCCCCGAGGTCACCCCGGTCCTGGTTCGCTCCCTGCCGGCTCCGCTCTCCTCCTCCCAGACTCCAAGAGGAAACCAGTTGTTCAGGGGCCAGGAGCTCCCGGACCGGGAAATAGCTGGGAAATAACTCGTGGTGTCGCCCGGCGGCCGGCCAAAGTTTGGGGGGAGAAAGGAGGGGGAGAGAGACTTGAGCCGGGCACAGAGAGGCAGAACCTCGAGAGACAGACATATAGGGCACCACTGGTTCCCAGCAGCCAGAGGAGAGGCTGGACTGTGGCAGAGACCAAAGATCAGACCCCCTTCCCGAGAGAAATAAGCAGAGAGATGAGGGTGGAGAGTTCTAGAGGCAGACGGCCAGTTGGATTCCCAGGGCCTAGGACAGGGCCTGCCGCATGTGTAGATGCTTGGTACATTTTTATTGGTCAGAAGGCAGGCAATAGAGACGCTGAAAAAGCTGATGGAAAGGCGGAGAGGCAGAGATGGGAAGTCAGGGTCAGAGGCCTGGATAGGAAGCAGTCTCAATTGTCCAGTGACCCAGTGTGGGGCCAATCAGCAGCCTGGGGACAGGAAGGGGACAGGAAGGAGCAGGGAGGGTGGGAGGGTCCCATGACCCCCAGTCGAGGATGCCTCTGCCCCCTCCCTGGGAGCCCCAGAGAAGATGGGTAGAGACCCTTCTGGTGCCCCTTCCTTTGTTCCCCTGCCTGCCAACCCTGCCTGGCAAAGGAGGATGGGCAGGAAGAGGGCAGGGGCCAGCTTCAGGGTCACGGCTGGGCACAAGCTTCCAGGCCAGCTGCCTCTGGCAGCCTGTTGCAGTTGAAGGGCCAGGGGGTGCCCAGTAGTGCTAGGCCAGACTGGCACTGGTGCTCTGCTTCCTGGCAGACAGAGCGGCAAGGGGGCAGAACACTGCCTAGTGGGGTGCAGCGGGGCACAAGCAGCCCACACAGGAGCCTCCGGAAATTCTGGTAGCAGGGCAGGCTTGTCAGGCTCTGTGGAGGGAGAGTGGCCTTCAGGCACCTGCTCCCAGGTTCCGTCCCCTCCCGGCTCGCCCTCTTTCCCTCTGCCTAGAGACCTCGTAACCGCTGAGGACCTCCACCACCTCCTCCTGGGTGGCCATGCCCACCCAGATGTTAGGGAAGGCCGTGGTGTTGTAGCTCAGACCGAGGCACATCTCCACCTGGACAGGCTCACAGGCCAGCTCTGTAGGGGTGGAGGAGGGCCACTGTGGGAACTGCTCACTGGCTGTGTGGCCTGTGGCAAGTCACCGAATCACTTGGTCCTGTGTGTATGTGGCTCCGACGGAGGATAACAAGGAGAGAGGGTGTACACAGTGAGGATCCCTGCCATCCCTGAGATCCTGCTCCAGTGTTACTCTCCAGCCCGGGGCATCCCACAGGGACCTCTTTGATCTCAGGGAACATGGGGCACTTGCATTTGCAGGGACCACTTGGGCACTGGGAAGAAAGTCCCCTGCTCTGTGTAAGAGCATGCCTTCATCTTTGGGGTGGGCTGTGGAAAGGGGCTCTGGGTGACAGAAGGGACTGGTTCTTGAAACCCCAACCACTGATTCCCAGATTCCCATTTCCCTTGGGGTGACACTCAGGGCTGTTGCCACCACCAGCCACCAGTGGCTTCCAGGACTCTGAGAAGTGGCCCCAGAGTCAGGATGGTGAGGCCAGCTGGCCCTGCCCCCTCAGGGAGAATGGCCTGGGACACCACACAGTACGCAGCAGGGTTCTGTGAGGTGGGCATCCAGCCTGCTCGCCCCTGCAGGCCCTGCTCAGGGTCCCCAGGGGCAGATTTCTCACCTGGGGGTGGGAACAAAGGGCTGCTGCAGTTGTCATCGCTGCCATCGGCGCAGTCTCTCCACAGGTCACACATCCACTGCACACCCTTACACCCTCCAGCCTGGCAGGAGAGCTCACTGGGTCCACAGCGGTCTGCAGGCACAAGGGGCATGGCAGTGCCCGGGGGCACACCTACACCCCAGTACCCACACAATGTCTTGACCAGGGTCCAGAGCCCTTCTCTGTCCCCCTGCAGGTGCCTCTGCTGCCCACACCCACTTGCCCAGGGGCACCTACTCTCTGTGGTATTGAAGGCCAGGTAGGTGGCTGAGAAGCCTCCACTGCTGATGCCATGATCTGTCCTAAAGAGCACAGCCAGCTCATGGTGCGAAGACACGAGGAGGGCGGGTGGCTCTGCTCCACAGAACCTGCCCAAAGCAGACAGCAGTTCTGGGCACCAGCCCTGGCTGACTGAGGGGGCATTGCAGCCTCCCACAGGTCTGGCTCTGAGCTGGGAGCCCTGGACGGTGCCAAAGGTGACGAGAGACACCGGGTTAGGGTCTGGTGAGGAAGACACACATATTCAGCAGGCAAAGCATGAAACAAACTGCTTGCACTTGAGCCACTTCGAGATGGGGAAAAAAATCAGTGAAGCAGCCTGGCATTGTGGCTCAAGCCTGTAATCCCAGCGTTTTGGGAGGCCAAGGTGGGAGGATCACTTGAGCCTAGGAGTTCGAAACCAGCCTGGGTGATACAGGGAGACCTTGTCTTTACAAAAAAATTAAAAAAAAAAATTATCTGAACATGGTGGCATGTGCCTGTGGTCCCAGCTACTTAGGAGGCCGAGGTGGAAGGCGCACTTGAACCTGGGAGTGGAGGCTGCAGTGAGCCATGGTGGCACTACCGCACTCCCACCTGGGCGACAGAGCGAGACTCTGCCTCAAAAAAAGAAGCAAAAGAAAAATCAACGAGAGTTTGTAGGGGAGGTGGAAGTGGCCCCTTCTGGTGGCGAGGAACTGGGGCAGGGAGATTTGGGGTGAAGGTTTTGAGGTGAGAGCTGTTTTTAGGGTGATGGTGAAGAGATCCCCGGCCTGGAGTAGCAGAAGACAATGCAGCTGGGGAATGTGCTGGGCCCATGTGGAGGAAGCGGGGGGTGGCAGACAGTAAGGATGGAGTTATCTGTGGCTCTTCCCCGGCTCCCATACCTGCCTAGGAGGCTGAAGGCCCCTGAGCTGCTGATCTCATACACCTCCACGTAGTCAAACTTGCACTCATCCTGAGCCTCCAGGCTGAAGTTGTGGAACTGTAATTCTATGCCGTGTCCGGCAGGCACTGAGATATGCCAGGTGCAGAGCTGGGGGAGGGCACAGGTGGAGCGATTCGTGGCCCCTTCTCCTGTCTCATCCTGGGCACCCAGGCTGAGCTCCAGAAGGGGCTTCTTCCCCCACTGCAGACTGGGGGGTGGGTTGGCACTTTCATCATTGGTGGCTCTTAATAGAGGAAGGGGCTTTAACTTACCTGGTTTCACAGATGAGTTGACCCAGCATTGGAACATCTGGATACACAGTAGGCACTGAATAATATTCCCCTATTCCCCATCTGCTTTATCTCTGACCTTCCCAAGTACAAGGTAGTGTCTACCATGCTGTTTCCATCACACTAACTCGGGGTCTCAGGCACGTCGTGTGTGCCCCTCCCCCTCTGCATGGAGCACTGTGCTTACCTGCTGGTGAGGGTACTGCTGCAGGTAGCTGGGAGTGGAGAAAGTGCCCTGGAGCCCAGTCAGATTCCCCCCACACCCTGTAGAGAGGTGGAAGGGCTCATGAGTTTGCTAGATCTGTGCCTCCATCCAGTAGCGCTGGCAGTGATCACAGAGCCAGTTTTGGCCAAGCCCTTGGGAAACAAGCTCTGGGCCAAAGAATGACCAAGCAGGAAATGCTGGCAGAGGCCCTGGTTTGAGGCTGGCCCAGAGCTGGAGGCCCCAGCTTGAACCCGGATCAGATGCCTGAAGAGAGGACCCCCTCATGCCTGCCCCGTACCCGAGAACTTGGCACTGCAATTGGTTTCATCACTGCCGTCGGCGCAATTGGCAAAACCATCACACACTGAGTCAGGCAGCAGGCAGATGAGCTGGTCGCAGTGGAACTCATCATGGGCACAGCTCCCTGGGTGTGGGCATCAGGAGTCAGGGATGCCCAGAGTCTCCACCCCTTTGGCAGGGCTGGGAGTGGGTGGAGGGGAAGAAAGTGGACACTCAACAGGCAGCTAGGGCCATGGTGGGAACACACTCACCATGCCCCAGGGCCACAGCCTGGTACCAGGCATGGAAACCAAATCCTTCCACACTGCTGTCAGAGATGAAGGCCACCAGGAGGTGGCTGGCATTGGTGTTTAGCGTGGGGGGAGGCAACCTCCCACAAACCCTGCAAGAAGCCAGGTTGGGGGTGATGGGGCCTCTGAGAGCAGGGCCAGCCAGAGAGGAGCTCATCTGAGCCCTGCTGTCTTATTTTCTCAATCCCCAAACTGGTGACCGTGGGGTCAAAAAGGCTCCTCTAATGTCCCAGGGAGCTCTGACCTTCCTAGCACCTGCACATTTATCCTTGTAGCATTTACTCATTGGAAGATAGGCGGGAGCTCCGTGTTACAGACTAGGAAACAGATCAGAGAGAGGGAGTGATCTTCCTCATGGCAAACAGCAAGGTGGTGGCAGAACTGGGTCCAGAGATCTAGTCTCTCAGTTTCTTACTGGGTGTCACTCCCCAGTTCGGCCCTTTAGATGGTGGTTCAGGACAGGGTGGGAGGTCCTGGGGACAGAGGGACATACCTGAGGAGGGGGCCTTCAGGCTCAGGGGAGATTTCCAAGCGATCAAAAGGGCAAGAGGCCACACTTTCTATGCTGAGGGCTTCAATCTTGAGCTGGATCGTATGATCTGTGGCTACCTGGATATGCCACACGCAGTGGGCGTTGGAGGGGTAAGGGTCTGGGTAGTTAGGGCTGCTGAAGAAGCCCCTTGGGCCAGAGAGGAGGCCTCCACAGGCTGCAGAGATGGAGGTTAGAGTTCAGAGGTCAAAAGGAGAGCGGTCCTTTATTCCCCAAGGTGCCTCTTCCTCACCCTCCCCTCACCCCACCCCATCATCTTGGGCTCTTCTCCCAGAAGATCCGCCCTGAGTACTCACTGGACTGTGGGGAGGGGCTCACGCCTGCCTCCTGCTGTCCTTTAGGGGTCCCAGCTGCCTGGGAGTTGGTGATGGTGGGGATGGTGGTGGTAAGGCCTCCGGCAGGCAGTGAGCTATGGGAGGTCCCATTTGGGGGTGCAGCCTGCAGCTCTAAAGGCGGGAAGATGGAGGGCGGCATTCAGAG